TGAATTTTGAAGGGGCTATAGGGCAGAGTGTTATAGATTAAATTGTGTGCCCCCAAAAAATACATACTGAAGTTCTAACTCCCAGTTTCTCAGGATGTGATTTTACTAAAAATAGGGTTGTTGCAGATGTTAGGATGAGGTCATTAGGATGGTCCCTAATTCAAAATGACCGATGTCCTTATACACAGGGAAAATTTGGACACATACACAGGCAAACTATGAGAACGCTGTGTAAAGATAATGACAGAGCCCTGGCCGGTTTGGCTCAGCAATTAGAGCGTTGGCCTGTGGACCAGAGAGGCCAGGGTGCAGTTCCCGCTAAGGGTACGTAGCTCAGTTGCAATTTGTCCCTGGCCCCGGTAGAGGTCGTGTGAGTGGCAACCACTCAATGTGTCTCTCTTACATCGATGTTTCTCTCTCTCTTTCTCCCTCTCCCCCTCCCACTCTATCTCAAGATAAATGGGGGAAAAAATGTCCTCGGGTGAGGATGAAAAAAAAAAAAAGACAATGAAAGAGATTGGGGTGATCCTTCCATTAACCGAGGAATGACAGAAAACCACCAGAAGCTGGGTGAGATGCATGAAACAGTCTTTCTCACAACCAACACTGTGAACATCTTGCTCTTACACTTGCTAGCCTTCAGAACAATGATATAATAAATTTCCATTGTTTAAGCCACCTGGTTTCTGCTACTATGTTATGGCAGCCCTAGCACACTAACACAGGGAGTAACTGCTAGAGTTTATTTGAGGAGTGATAAAAATATTCTAAAATCGATTGTAGTAATGGTTGCTCAACTCTGTGAATATACTAAAAACCACTGAATTATACACTTTAAATGGATGAATTTTATGACATGAAATGTGAATCATAGATCATAAAGCCATTTATAAAGAAACCTAAACATTCCTGGCAGTTTTTCTCAGTGGTTAGAGCATCAGCCCGTGGACCAAAGGGTCTCAGATTCGCTTCCCAGTCAAGGTCACCCACCTGGGTTCAATACCAGGCCCTGGTCAGGGTGGTGCAGGAAGCAGCAACTGGTGTTTTTCTCTCACATTAATGTTTTTTTCTCTCTCTTCTTCCCTCCCTCCCTCTCTTCCACTCTATCTAAAAATCAATGGGAAAATATTATCATGTGAGGATTAACAAAAAGAAAACTAAATATCTAATTAATCTATGTCTGAGAAATTCCACTCATAGGTATTTACCCCAGAGAAATAAAAACTTATTTTCACAAAAGTATTTGTACATTGCAGCTCTATCACAATAACCAAAAATGTGGCAACATCTTGCATGTGCCTGAAGAGGGGAATAGATAAACTGCAGTGAAGTCATACAATGGAATACTACGTAGCAGTAAAAAGAAATGGACTAGCCCTGGCTAGTTTGGCTCAGTGGTTGGAGCGTCGGCCTGTGGTCCAGAGAGACCCAGGTTCAGTTCCCACTAAGGGCACATACCTCGGTTGCAGTTTGTCCCTGGCCCTGGTTCCTGGTTGGGTTGTGCGGGAGGCAGCCACTCGTTGTGTCCCTTTCACATCGATGTTTCTCTCTCTCTCTCTCTCTCTCTCTCTCTCTCTCTCTCCCCCCCCCTTTCTCTCTCTCTCCCCCTCCCTCCCTCCCACTCTATCTGAACAAAAAAATGGAAAAATGTCCTCGGGTGAGGATAAAAAAAAGAAAGAAAGAAATGGACTATGGGTATAAGAAATGGACTATGGGTATAAGCAATATCATGAAAAAGATGTAAAAATATTGTCTAAGTGAAAGTAAAATCCTTACACAAGAGAGGATGTACTCTAATGATACCATATATATAAAGTTCTAGAATAGGCAGACGTAACCTGTGGTTAATATGAAACCACACAAGTTGCTGCTCAGAAAATAACAAAGTTGCTGGTGCTGCCCTGTACACCAGATATCAAGTGGAAAGGGGAATGAAGGAATTTTCTGGAGTGATGTACATGTTTGATATCTTGATAAGGTTTAGATTACATAGATAGGTATATGCATTTGTCAAAGCTCTTGGAATGGTCCACTCAAGATCTTTGCATTTCATTGTATATAAATTTTATTTTTTAACATATTAAAAGAAACTGTTAAACTCTAAGTAATAATATCATTCTGGAGTATTCAGGGACAAGTGTATTGATGCTTGTATCTTACTTTGAAATGCATCCAAGCAGTTAGATGGATTGTTGCATGTATTTTTTTACATCCATAGAAGTGAGTTTTTTGTGTGGAGTTGAAGGGCTGAAATTCATCTTAATCTATTGGCATAAGTTCAGTTGTGTGTGGTGAAGGGTGTGGATGTAAGGAGGACAATTTTTGCAGAGATTCCTGGAAGGAGAGAGGAATATGGACTCCACAGAATGGTATCTCTTTCTCTTCAGACCTCATAAGCATCTGCCTGAGTTCTGTGCAGGGAATAGAAGTAAATACTGTTTTCAAATGAGACTCTCTGAGACCTGAGACCATAAGCAGCACTGATTTGATGTCTCAGTGATGAATACAATACAGAACAGAGGTGTTAACCCTACCTCAGTATGGACCAGCATGAGGCTGGCTCAGTGAAGCCTACACCGAATGTGGCAGCCCTTCCTTTTTTCCCAAATGATATGGAGAGACATCCGTGTAAACAGGACAATACCAAGTATAATGGCAGCGACAATCAAATGTCAGTGGTAGATACCAACACAAGGACCCAGTTAAGAAAAGCATGAAAAAGTTTTTAGGTAGGTCACATAAGACACATCCAAGGTCTCTCAGCAGTAAATGAGAGATCTGAGGTAGACAAGATGAGAAAGTACAACTCAGTACAATTATAACCCCATTGCTATTCAGAGGCCTGATGACATTTATATATCACAGAAGGCTAGTAAGTTAGAAAAATTAACCATAGTCCATTTTAATCTACTTTATTTCACAAACACTAACGGACCAAATGAGCTTGCAACAGCAAACACTTTAAAAAAAAAAAAAATGAAGAAGAAGAAAAGAAAGCGCCCTGTTTATTGGTTGTGGTAGAAAAGAACCACCTGTACTACCTGAGCAGGACATGCTCAGGATGGATGTAGCTGATTGTAAGAGGGACATTAATGACATTGAAAATATGACTTGGGCTGTGTATATAATCGCCTTTAACCTTTTTTTAGAAGAGCAAAAAAGAGTCTAGTTTAGTGTTAGGATGTAATCTGCACAGGATGAGTGCTTCAGCCATCACATCAGCCAGCCCCAGACTTGATAGTGTCCCCTCCCAAGAGTTTGCCCAACAGAAGCAAATTGATTCTTTCTTTCCCTGTCATGTTGGAAACATATCTTCTCTCTCATTGGCTTAATTTCTCCAAAAGTCTGTTTTAAAGCCCTGGCCAGGTGGCTCGACTGGTTGGAGCATCATCTCATACACCAAAAGGTTCCGGGTTCAATCCCCAGTCAATGCATACAGGAGAAAACCAATCAATGTTTCTCTCTCTCTCTCTCTCTCTCTCTCTCTCTCTTCCTCTCTCTAAAATCAATAAACATATCCTCAAGTAAGGATTTTTAAAAAAGAAGAAAAAGAGTCTGAGTCATTATTAACTTGAATGATTTATCTTGTTCATAATAATGAAATTTAATAATGGCTAAGAATTGAAACTTTTTTTATAACACATTTTTATTGATTTTTTTTAGAGAGAGAGAAAGGAGGAGAGAGATAGAAACATCGATGTGAGAGAGAAACATCAATCAGCTGCCTCCTGTACACCCCCTACTGGGGATCGAGTCCACAACTCAGATATGTGCCCTGACTGGGAATCGAACCAGGATCTCTCCGTCCATGGGACAATGACACTCAATCTACAGAGCCACACCAGCCAGGCAGAATTGAAACATTTTTATGGCTGGCAAACAGCACCCAATTTCTCAGACTGTGCACTGTGAACAACAACACACAGTGTAATTAAACTTAGATATTTTCAATACAAATTTTACTTTATTACCTCCAGTGTCAAATAATGAGTGTTCTTTCAGAGATTCCCAATAGAAGAAGTTAGTCCAATAGAAAAATGGGTGAAAGTCAATAAACATGTGAAAAGGTGCTCAATTTCATTAGTCATCAGTCAAATGCAGATTAAAAGACCACATGCCATCATTCTATGCCCCCAGGATGGAAAAAAAAGAAGCAGAAAATGCTAATTATGGAAAGGGATATAAGGCAGCAAGAACTCTCAAATGCTGTGGGTGAAACTGCAAATTGGTACAACCTGTGTGGAAGACAATTTGGCAACATCTACTGAAACCGAGTACAGGTATGGCCTATGATTATCAATTTTACACCTGGCTATATTCCCACAGAAATATTTGCATAGAAGTCTCAAAAAATACATACAAGAAGATTCATCATGGCACTATCCACAAGAGCCCAAAACTAGAAACTACACAAATAATCATCTACACCAGAATATTCAAATAAATTGTGATATATTCCCCAATATAATACTATACAACACTGAGAATGAATAAACTACAATTACATCAAAAATGTAAATAAATGTCATAAAAAAATAATGTACATTAGAAGAAGCCAGACGCAAAGGAGTACGAACTGTATAATTCCGTTTATATAACATCTGAAACAGGTACAGGGTGTATGGTACTAGAATTCAGGCTAGTGAATTACCTTTGTTGTCCTGACCGGGATGTAGAAACATTCCTTTCTTCTCCTCGTGCAGGGTACACGGGTGTGTTAGATTTGTGAAATTCATTAGTATGTTTGCTTATGATTTGTACACTTTTCTGATTGTATGGCAAACTTCCAAAAAAAAGGTTTTAGGAAATTTTAATAAAAAATAAATTAACAAAAAGTACTGAAGACAGGGCATTTAACTAATAAATTATTAATTATTTCCATAGGAGACACAATGAATGCCCTTAAAGAGAAATGAAACAGACACAGAAACATGAAGAAGCTAAAGCCATTGTTTTAATGAGATGGTGTAACTGAGAAAGATCTGGGTCCCCAGAAGAAATCACTGAGACTCAATCACTGGAGGTAAGTCCTTTTTGTCTATGCAGCACAGATATGCAGTATCACAGAAAATATGATATTCTTCTTTTTTTCTACATGTTGGCCTGCAAAAGCCTTTCAGTCGCCAGCACGTAGCAAAGAGTTTTCTTATGTACGCATTCACTCCACTTCGAACTGCCAACAGAAACAAAGGTAAATGCACAGTTTCCTGTGGATCAATGAGATTGCAGGCTATACTTTAGAACTTTTCCATGGTAAATTGGACAGGATCAAAACATCCCAGTCATGTTGTGGCTGGATGCTGCTTATTTAGTTGCTTTTAAGTCATTTTCCAGAAACCCTGTTATACATCTTTAGTTCCCAGGGTCCCCACGTACATGTTCAGGTCACAGTCCCAGCAGATTCAGCTTGGGACAATTTGCAATGGAAAGATCACTGAGACCTGGGAGTATTCCCAGGAGTCTTCAAAGGCCCCAGTGCAGAAGACATGAGAGTCTGGGATAGTACCAGGCAGTGTGAGATTGTGACCACGTTCACTTGGAGAAGGAACAGTCACTGATTGAGAGTTACAAAGTCCGCTGTTCTGGCCCTGCATTCCCAATAACATTCTCCGTGACTCTTTGCCAAGTAGTTTACTACCTGCCTTGGCGTAATCACAGGGCACATGAACATGCCCAAAAGATAACGAGTGCGAAGTTGTTTGAATACCTAAAATACATAACTAAATCTATTGCTAGTATTTTTCCTAACCTTAAGACCTGGGTACCTCTAGAAGCTGAGGGGTAGGGGAGGAGGGGAAGGAAGGAAGTTTAAGAAGGTCGGGGTGGCTCGGAGTCACCCTACTGAATTATCCACTCTGTGTGCTAAGCCTTATCAGTCTCTCCACCCAGCTGGTTCATGGGACTATCTATTGGGGCTTTATGGTGTGAGGATAATCAATGTGGTATGAGCAAATTTGCCTATTAGCCCTGGGACACCTCTCTAGGGACAAAGGAGTCCAGAGGTCCTGCCATCCTGGACAGCAGCATAGCAGCAATCTTTACACCACGCTCATCTGTGCCTGTCTTTGGAATATTTCACGTTTGGCCGCTAAGTGCTATCTTTTGAATATGCAGGTTTAGGTAAAAGCTGCAGACCCCAGCAAACCAGAGCAAAACAATTTTTGAGGACCTCCACTTTAGTGATTTAGAGGACCCTTCTCCATGTTATCAAGTTGCTGGCTTCTGTCCAGAGAATGCAAACTCTGACTCCTCTAACTGATATTCCATAGGATCCCATCATGCTGTAAGGATGTTTGAACAACCTGCTCTGTATGCAGATTCTGCTCAGCATCAAATTTGCCTTCATTTCTAAATCTGTGAGAAATTATGCAGGTAACTGACTTAGGAGTGTAATTTCTAAGAGTTCTAAAGGAACAGACCCCTACCCCCACCACCCTGAAACCCTACTTTACCTCTAAAGGTCTCATGCTTTTGCTCTGCTCCACTTCTGCCAATACCATCAGTCCAACTTTCCCCTCAAGCTTTACAAACTCCCCAGGCCAAAATCCAGACCCATTTCTTCTCTGAAGAGAGCCACCTCCTATTACATGTCCTTAACATCTCTCCATTTCCTGGAACAGCCCAGAGCATCCATCTCTGCTCACATCCCTCCCTGTTTCTGCTTTTTTCATCCAAGTCCTGCTTTCTTCCTATTCCTATAGAGCCTCACATCCTTTTTCCCTTCACTCTTCTAATTCCACAGGGAGGGAATTCCATTTTACCTGGTGGAACATAGGAGAGCAAGACAAGGATCACGAGGACCAAGAATAAATTCCTCATGGCTGAACCAATCAACAGAGACAGCTGAGAGACAAGGGAGAGTCAGTCCATATGTAGCTCTTGAAAGATGAGGTGCTGCCTGGCTAGTGAACCCTTCAAGAACAAGAACATCTGTTTGCTCCACTGAGCAGTCCAATAAACGAACGGTCTGACTTTGAACATGACATCTCCTCATTAAAACACACTTCCTGAGTGCCACTTACATGCTGGCAACCGAATTCCCACTGTGTCAACAGCCCTATCTAATCCCTAGTAGGATGCTGTGTAGGTCTATTTGTATCTTCGTTATACATCTATTTAACAAATGCCTATAGTGTGTGAAGAACCAGAAAGGCTATCTTATATAGTTGACAAAGTATTTTCAATCGTTGTTTTCAATCTAACACACAGAAAGAAAGAAAAAAAAAAACAGGTAGATATTGTTCTCTCATTTTAAAAGCAAAGAACACAAGGCTCAGCTGGAATAAGTAACTTTCCCAAGTTGCCACAGGTTGTAAATTGGCAGCAACATGACTTACATACATGTTTACCTAACTCCTGAATGCAGATTTAAAGTATGGCCCAGCTCAGTTCTAGTGTATCTAAATAGATTTTCTAATATATTTAGGGAAATAATAGCTTTCCAAAGGACATGGGAGAATCCCTATAACAACACCAACATGAGTCTGAGGGGCACACTGAGTGAACACAGGCTATGTGCTGGGTAATGTGGAATAAACAAGAAATTACAGAACTCTTGCTTTGGGGGACTAAAGGTCAACAGTTTGACAGTTTACAGAGTGCTTTAAACTTTATGGACACTCCATCTGATATTGTATAAAGAATATGGAAGCCAGAAGCAGATAACCTGACTTCTTATCTGGACTCAGCTCCCTGGGCTTCCAATGAGGCACTTACTTCACCTCAAAAAGTCAGCTTTCACTCCCATAAAATTGGTTGTACACCCTCAGTGCTACCTATCACCAAACCTGTGGTAAGACCAAATAAAATCATTCTTGTAAAAAGTTCTTTAAAACTGTACACTGTAAGGGACTGTCAGACCCATGTCACAGAAGAAGACAATTAAAACTAGAGATGACAGAGACAGTGCTCCAACTAGAGAATGGAAGGGCTAGGACAGGAACCAATTCTTCCATCACTCTGTCCTGTGTGTTTTTCACCACATTAAATATATATATATTAACATATTTAATTGTATGTAATTCAATCACTTCGGTGGAGTCTTGTTTTCTAACTTTAGGAAATCTGTGATGTGATTGAGATTACAGATGTGGAAAGACACACATGAGAACTTCAGAGCAAAAGAAATCACTATGTAGAGAAAGAATGGAAGACATGAGTTTGGAGGGACCCAGAGGGAAATGACCAAGCAAGTCCAAGTGTACTGAGAGGTCCTGAGGACCAATGTCTAAGCTGGAGCATTAGGTACAGGCAGATCTGCGTTCTCTCAACCCATCTGCATCTGATCTCTTCCCCAACCAACCTCCAACTCCGCTCGTCCCACTGTGCCCTCCAGAACCCCAATTTCTTCTACTTCATATCTTCTCCCCAGCAAACTCTTCTGCATCTGTGCCCCAGTGAAAAGCTGGGTTTTTGTCTGAGGACACAGATTCCCAGTAGCCTTTGCCAATTGAACACTATTCATCTACTGGGATTCCACACACCATGAGACAGGCAAGCAGCATTTTACAATCCCCTAACAGCCCCTGCTGATCCAGAACATCAGATGTGTTCCCAACCCCTCTTTTCCCTCACCCTACCTGCACTAAATTGATCATCAAATCTTACCAACTGCCTCCAACATATAGCTCACCCCATCCATTTCTCTGCATCTCCACTTTCACCAAGCCATTCAAGGCATCACTATCTGTCACTAATTCAACAGCTTCCTAACTGAGCTCCCATATCATTTTTGCATATTTACCATTCATCCTTCATGTAGTAACTAAAATGCCCTTTATTTAAAAATTGGATCATGCATTTGTCCTTTGCAAAACCTTTCACTGGCTCCCTACTGGGCTAATGGAAAAATTGCTCGTGTGAGTGACAAGGCCCAGCCTAATCTGACACCTGATTGCCTCTCCCAGCCCAACTCCTCTCAGTCATCCACTTCCTCACTGTATTCCACACTACAACTTTACTCTACTCAAACATACCCACCCCAAAGCTTTCACACATGGTATTAACACATGCTGGATATCTGCATCAACTTCCCCCAAGTACTCACTTAACACTTACTCATTTAAAGGGATGGCTTCAGTCTGTTCTATAGCATGAATTTTTTTGAACACTTCCCACCTAAATTATATCCCTTCTTGTTCATTTCTCTTCTAGGACCCTGTTTCATTGTTAGCATATAACATGGTAGAACTCTATATTTGTGTTTCTTTTTCTTGATTTAACATTTGCTTCCTCCACTTGACTCATGTATGTCATATATACATGATATCATATCAATCAAATTCTTTTTTTTTTTTTCTAGGACACTGTATTAGTTTCCTAAAGCTGCCATAATAAAAGACTAAAAACTGGGGGGGGGGGGGGGGTAAACAAAAGAAATATGTTATCTCACAATTCTGGAGGCTAGAGTCTGAAATCAAGGTGTCTGAAAAGTTGGTTCCTTCTGAGGGTTGTGAGGGAAGGCTTTGCTCTGTGTCTCTATCCCAGCTTCTCCCAGCTTCTGGTAGCCTCATGCAATCTGTGACCTGGAGATGGTGTTCTCCCTGTCTTCACAAAGCCTTTCCTCTGTATGTATCTGTATCTGTGTATAATTTTGCTCTTCTTATAAGGCACATTAGTTTGTCATTAATCTCCTCTTTCAAATATATATGTGTATATATATATCTCACTTTTTATTGTAAAATATATAACACAGAATAGTCACAGAGATGTACATTACAGCATAGGGAATATAGACAATAATATTGTGCTAACTTTGTATGGGGCCAAGTGGGTACTTGAAATATCAGGGTGACCACTCTGTAGAGTACATGATTATCTAACCACTATGCTGTGCATCTGAAACTAACACAGAATAATATTGAATGTAAACTGTAATTGAAAAATAAATAAATAAAAATGTGCACATTTGGAAAAATTAAAAAAAAAAAACGTTTTGAAGAATAAAAATTTAAAAATGAAACTTTGAAAAAAATAGTGTTTGTGACCTTAAAAAATAAAATAAAATATATATAACACACATGCAAAAGAACCCACAAAGCAAATACAGAGCTTCACAATTATTATTAGGTTAACCCCATAGTAAACACCACCCAGATCATGAAATTGAACTTTGCAGCCGTCCCAAAAACCCCTCCATATACCCATACCCCAATCATAATCCCTCCAAGTTACCACTACCCTGACTTTTAATGTAATTGTGTCCTTAAATTTCTTTATACTTTTATTACCCAATTGTTCATCCTTACAAACTAAAATTTGATCTTGCCCATTTTTTGCATGATTTTTTTATTTCACTTTTTCCATCATTATTTGTCCCCTCTTTGCCCTCTTTCACCTCCACCATCCCCCTCCACCCCCACAATCACCACACTGTTGTCCATGTCCATGAGTTCTCTCTCTTCTTTAATTTTTTGTTTTTGCTCAATCCCTCCATCCCCGCCCTGCCTCCATCCTGAGCTGTCTGCCTGCTCTCTTTCTGTGAGTCTGTCTCTATTTTGCTTGGTAGTTCAGTATGTGGAATTTAATGAACAAACTGATCTTGCCCTTTTTTAATTTGATATGTCTTTTTGGTCCCTTTTGGTTTATGTGTTGTCCCTCCTGCTCTCTTACAACTTACCTGTTGAAGAACTTAGGACACTTGACCTACAGAGTTACCTACAACCTGGATTTTGCTGGATTTTTCATGATGTGGTTTAACTTGTATCTCAGTCCTCATATTTCGGAGGCTTGATCAGACTCAGTTTAATCCCCATAGCAGGACTATAGGTTTTCTTGTATCTTTTCATCAGGAGGCTCACACTATCTGGTTGACTCTCTTTTTTGTGCTTTCCAGAGCCATTGATACTCAATGCCTAGATACATTAATTCATCAAGTGTTGCAAAAGGGTGATATTCTAATTGCCAAATGAATTTTTAAAGAAACAGAAAAAACAATTTTAAATTTTCTATGGAGCTACAAAAGACCCCAAATAACCAAGGTAATACTGAGAAAGAACAATGCAGGAGGCATCACACTTCTGATTTTAAAATATATTTCAAAGCCATGGTAATCAAAACAGTATGGTACTGACAATAAAAACAGGCACTTAGACCAATGGAACAGAAGCAAGAGCCCAGAAATAAATCCATGCATATACTGTCAACTAACATTTTATAAGGAGAAAAAAGTCTCTTCAATAAATGGTTCTTGGAAAACTGGATATTTACATGTAAAAGAATGAAATTACATCATTCAAAAAGCGAACTTAAAATTAAAGATTTAAATGTAAAACCTGAAACTATAGAACTCCTAAAACAAAACGTGGGGAAAAGCTCCTTCATATAAGTCTTTGCGATGATTCTGTGGATATGACACCTAAAGCACAAGCAACAAAATAACAAATCAACAAGTGGGACCATATCAAACTAAAAATTTTCCACACAGCAAAGGAAACATCAACAAAATGAAAAGGCAATATACAGAATGGAAAAAAGTATTTGCAAACCACACATCTGAAAAGGGGTTAATGTCCAAAACATATAAGGTAATCATACGACTCAATAGCAAAAAAATAAAAATCAAATAATCCAGTTAAACATGGGCAAAGAACATAAATAGATACTTTTTCAAAGAATATGTTCAAATGGCCAACAGGTATATGAAAGGTGCTCAGCATTACTAATCACTAGGAAAATGAAAAATCAAAACGATAATGAGATATCACATCACACCTGAGAGTATGGCTATCGTAAAAAAGTCAAGACAGCCCTGTCTGGTGTGGCTCAGTTGGTTCATTGTCCCATGCACCAAAAGGTTACTGGTTTGATCCCCAGTAAGG